GAGAGAGAGAGAGAGAGAGAGAGAGAGAGAGGATTGTAAATTTCACAGAACCCATGAGTGGGACAAAGTCTTTAGAACACCGTAACCAACATTAAGAAATATTAAAAACTTGAAACAAAATTTCACTAATAATTTTTTCTTTTTGTTTTTCTTATAGCATCTATCATATAGTTAAAAAAAAACCAAAAATTGATATCTAAAATAAATGTACATCCTAATTTATAAATCTAACAACTATTTCTTACCTCAAATATGTTATGAGGGAGAGAGAGGTTGAGCTCTAGAACACCGTAACCAGCAACCTTCTAACGACAGAATGAAGACCATAACTTCTTCGAACAAATACGGCAGAGTGGCGGAATGGAGGTTTCGTTTTTAGGGTTTATATGCCAAACAATTACGGCAATGCGATTGCCGTAATGACTCTTGAAAACATTACGATATTAAGAATACCGTAATGCTCAATTTATATATTACAGTACTATACTAACAGTAATATATCTTTAAACTATTACAGTATTTTTAATATCGTAATAATATCTTAATTTGTTATGGTAATTACATTTCCGTAATGATTAATGATTTATGGTACAAAGACTTCCGCGAAAAGGTAGTTTCATCTCAAAAAAGCCAAAATTCGTGAAAAAGGGTGTGGGTGAGGTTTTCGGAAGTTGGGGTTTTTTTTTCCAATTTCCTTAAAATATGGGTATATTAGCGATAATTTCCCTAAAAATTATGCCACTGGATTTTAGATGTAAGAGCTAGGGGCATGTGTGAATTTTTTTATGTCGAAAGCAAGCAATTTTATTGTACATGTAATGGCAGTAAGCTTGCCTGTCCGATCTAGCTAGAGTTGAAAAGGACGTTAGCTTGGCCAGGTTGGCCCTACTGTAGCGCAAGCCCAGCCCTGACCAGCCTGACCCAAGTGTGGTTGGGTCACATGATCCATTACCACCCCCACATATAAAGGGTCTTCTTGTTATATTCTTTTGGGAATACATATAAAGACATCATTTGCTTTTGATACAAAGAGGTTACAATCATCATTGATTGTTACAGTTAAAATTAGAATGGTTGAGGATGCTCATACATTGGGCACAAAGTCCAAAATAAATTTCTCGAGTATTGTAACACAATTATCCCTATTGCAGATCATATCCAATGACTCAAAAAGATTTGACTGTCTTGTACTAAAAATAAATGGTCTCCTAATGCCTATTCTTTTTTGGGCAAGCTTTATATGCTTCTCCTACAACATAAAACTTATATACTTCCCTTTATCCATCCGTCCATTTTAAATGGAGGGCTAATATTGCCCCAATCACAATGTCACGTCTCTACACTATTTTATTTTTAATTTTTTTCTATAAACTATTTTGACACCAAATTTTGTATGTCCAATCATCTATTAAACTCGCACTAGTGAAAAATACAAAAAACATATTTCCAATAAAATAAAATGACCAAAATACCCTTGAAAATTTCAAGGGGTATTTTAGTCATTATATTTTATCGAAAAATTATTTTTAATATTTTTCATAGGTGCGCCCCAATGAGAAGATAACACGTACCAAATTTCATATTCATACAATGTGTATAAAAAAACTAAAAATAAAATACTTTGAGACCTCGGATTTAAGATCAAACGACGAGTGATTTACTTGATCAAAATTGGACAGCTAGATGATAGAGGATGCATAAATCTTCTATGCTGTAGGGGAAGTATAGAAACCTTTCCCTTCCTTTTTTGTACATTTTCCTAGATATATTCGGACCGTCCATCACCCAAGGGTGGTGTAGGTTGGAGTTTGGTGGGTTAGAATAGAAATATTATTTGACCTGCTACTATTTGCCTTAAACAAAATTTAAAGACAAATTATCTTCATATCCACTATTTTTAAGTTTTATATCTTGATAAATTCAATGTTTCAAAAAATATTTTTTAACCCTTGGACACTTTAAACCTATTTTTTAATTTAAATAAATATGAGAAAAACATGCTCTTTCTAAACCTAATCATTTCTCTCTTCACTTGTGTACTACAAACTTCTTTATTTCTCTCTCTTCTTGTATCTCTCACTTGCTCTCTCCTCCCGTGTTTTTCTAAACACGTATCTCTCTGCCCTTTCTTCACACCTCCATGACACCCATATCTCTTTGTAAAAGTTTGGGTGGATGATTTTTAAAAAAAACATGTCTTTTTAGCTTTTATTGGCTTAAAAATACAGGTTTAAAATAATTAAAGGGTTAAAAAAATAAAATCACCAATTTTTATGCCTCAATATATCTTTCAAACATTTAGTCTTAAAATATTGGGTATTGAGAAAATTTTCCAAATTTAAACCCTTGTTTACCAAAAAAACATAAAAATAAAAATAAAAACCTTAACGCCTTCGTTAAGGCACTTTGGCTCCATGTTATTATTAAAAATGATGGAATTAAAAATAAAAAATCATTTCATTTTTTAAAGTCCCCCAAAATGTAGGCACCATTTGGGGCTATTTCGACGAGTCCTGCCTGAATTTGCAGGCATGGTCGTCTAGGAGCCGAGCATATTCCCCCAATTTTATTTTGTAAGCCTCCTTCCCTTCTTCTCTCTTTCGGAAATGCATTCGTCCCAGAATTTTTGATTACCTACTAAGCTTTTCCTTTGTTCCTAACTAATTTTAAATTTGTTCAGAGGAGAAATCGGGTTTTTATTTCGCACAATTCTGCCAGGATTGAGTTTCTCATTGTCTTCTTCTCGAGTATTGCTTCTGTGTTTGTGTGTTTTTTTTTGTCAATTTCTTCATTTCTACTCTGGAATTGAAGGTAGGAACGAAAGGCGTGGATCATGGCTGCTTCTTCGGGCCCGAGAGTTGAATCTTGTCGTGTTGGTGCTCGCTTTATTCTTGTTTTTGTTCTGTTGACAGCTGCTTATGGATTGGATCAGGTTATTTGGCTTTCATAGATCTAGGGTTCTCTCTTTTCCTTTTTATTTTCTATTTAGCCGATAAAGGATCCAGGAGTTTTTCTGGATGGATCTGTTATGTTTCACGGATTTTTTCACTTCCAATCATTTGTTAATTGCTGCTTAAACTCTGGTTGGGGGGACAATTTTCAGGAATCATTAGGTTTGGATGATGAAGATACCCGCTCAAATGAGTCGGACAGTGTTCTGGATAGGCGGAGTAAGGTCTGCAAGTTATCTTACTATATTCCCTTTTAATTTAACTCAATTTTGGTGAAGTATAAGGTTCGAAATTTCTATTTTTTGTATGATTATCATTTTGACTGTTTGTTTTAAGATTTTCTCTGGCGTTCTTGTTGTTTCTTCCCTCTTTGTTTTTCTGTGGGTTAGTTTTGTTTTTAATTACTCAATATCAAGTTGTGCAAGTTTAGTACGCCTTTGAAGCTACCCTTTTCATGGCTAATCTTTCAATAATTCCATGAATCTGAAGAAATCCGACTAAGTTTGAACAGCAGAGGAATCTACCCCTTGTGCCCTCTTTCTAGATTGAATTTTTTACCTTCCTTCTTATTTTGATTGGTAACTAAGTTTCAAGTAAGTTTTTAATATATTTTGAGAGAATCCTTCTCTGTTGTTATTGATTCTCAACCAATCACTCTAAGGAAGGATACTGGGTGAGTGTTGGAGCGTGTTGGAATTGTATAACTTAAACACGAACTAAAAGCAAACCTGGATTACTCCTAATGTCCAAATCCGTATTCTCTAACTGAAACCAACTGGGACACTAAAGGAACCCCATAACCTGCCTAGCAAGACTTACAAGTTCACAGACACGCATTCAAAGAGATTTTTCCAGTTACTTGGAAATGCGTGACTTAGATTCCAAATTAATGGCAGCTTGTCTGGGAGTTTATGGAGCAAGCAGAAAATCATAGAACCGTGGATTTTTGAGAAAAATCACGGAAAGGTCTGTCTAAATTGTCAAATTCCTTTGATCTATTCTTCTTCATAAGAGGTATCTCTTATAGGTCCTAACGTTGCAGGCCGTCTGATATGGTTTTGGAGTTACTCCATTTCAATATTGTAATGGAGGTAAATGCTGCTCAGGTTTATCAACATAAGAAACTTGTTTGTGAAATTTGAGGACATATATAAAAGTTGCAGGCCAAGCAAAAGTCATTATGCCAAACCTTGATATGGGAATGTGTAGTGGGATGTCTAAGTTAGCTAAGGATCCCAAATTTACATTTAGGGTTCTTATATCACTTATTTTAAACTAAATTAGAGAAAATACACCATGGGTATAAAACCACTTCCCTAGATATAAGAACAAACTTTAGAGGAAGTTGATGTACTATATATAAGCCTTCAATAAAAGCATCTGGGTTTGAAATTGAATCCTAGCTATGCAAAAGAAAATATGGTAGAAGATGGAGTTGTAGTGAGTGAACTAATAGTTTCTATGAGGTGATAAATTAGGTTTTTGGATGATAATGAAACAACAGCTCAAGGTTCCTCCTTAGGAGGAACTGTGCCTTTGAACTTTGAAGGAGGTAATAATTTGGTACTTGCCCTACAGAAGAGATTTTGGTCAAATTTTAAAATTAAAAATCAACATGGGATGACCTATCTTATATCAGGTAGAGAGGGGCGTGGTGGTGGGAATGATGATGATGATGACGTTGAATGCGATATGGATCATTAGCCTATAGTTGATGGATCATAGGGATTGATAATTGCTGATGTTGTAATCTATTGTAATTTAAGTCCTTTATTCCAGAACTGACCCCCCTCCATTTAGAGGGTTTGAACACTACCCAAATGGGTTAAAGTCCCAACATGCCACCATCAGGACTACATGCCATGGGCGTAAGACCTTTCATTCATGTATTGCATGTTGACAAGTCATGCTATCGAATCATGTCTGGAAGGATTGGTTAGCGAAGCATAATAAAGGATAATGAGTGGACACATGCAAGTTACTAATGTTGTTCTAGAATCACGTCAAAAAAAAAGGAAAACAAAAGAACGAAAAGAAAAGACTAAGTTCTAGAACATGTTTTATAGAGTGTTGAACTGGGTTTAGCCTCATAGGATCTAGATTGTTTAGCCTCTTTGGATCTAGATTTATTTTCTGTAGACTAATTAACAATTTCCATTGGTCTTCTTCTAGTGTAAGAAGAATGGGTTTTCAACAAATTATCAAATTAATGTATAGAAAGTTCTTGTATGCAAATTATCAACTTCCATTGGTCTTCTGTATGTTTTTTTTTTCCCATTTACTACTTCGGTGGTATTTTATTTTCAGAATTTGTACTTTCTTTCGGATTTCATATTACTTTTTCTTGATTGACCAGTCCGACAGGTGAGACAAGAGTGAATTTTCTGGTTTAATGGCAATTCTGTTTAGATAACGTTGATTTTATCATCCAATTTACTTCTTGGCATTATTCATGAGTATTGAGAGGCAACCGCTATGGATGATATTTTGTGATGACCTGTGTAACTTGGGATGAGTTTGGGCTTTGGGCTTGTTTTGCATTGTAGTTTCCTGTTATGGAAAGCATCTATTTTGTCTTTTCTTGATAACTTCTATTTTAATGGTGTTGTTGCTTATAAATGAAATGGGAACACGTAACAAAAGATCATTATGTGTTGTTACACAGATTAACTCCACATGAGGTAGTAATGGAAGGAAAGTTATAAAATTTCTTTGATATGGTACTGATGAATATTTATGTCACTGGGCAGATATCTTTGCGCTCTATTAGGAAAGATTCCACAGGTGGAATTGACGAAGCATCTGTCTATGTAAATGCTGGTCTTGAAGGCCTTTCGGGACAATTTGGCCTTGGAATCTTTGATGCATTTTTCACCAGTTTGTCAATGATCCTTGTTAGTGAGGTGTGTTTCCGCATTCCTCAATTTCATTTGTTTATCTGTTTACTTTTGATTATCTTTTTTTTTTTTTGAATATGTTCCTTTTGATTATCTTCATTGATGGAAACTGTTGTTGCCAATTGTCAGATTGGGGATGAGACATTTATAATAGCTGCTCTTTTGGCAATGCGTCATCCAAAATCTATCGTTTTGTCTGGTGCACTCACGGCCCTTATTGTGATGACAGTAAGTGGCATGTTTTTATTTATTTCTATTTTGCACAATAGTTAATACATCATAAATATATTGGAGGGTCATCTTTTCCACTACCAATTTACTTTAAGAAGACAACCTATTCTTTGTTCTTATATATGGTTGTTTCCTTGGTGATGATCAACTCGATATATTTGTTCACTAGAATATGAATGCCTTGTTTGAGATTCTTTGTTTTGTGTATGCTCAGTGCAATAAATATTGTAAGTTGAATTTATTTGAAAAGAAAAAGTTGGCAAGTTGTTTCTGCTTGCTACATATTATTCTTGTACCAATCTGAACAAGTCTTCTTATGCCTAAGGTGCTTTCAACTGGACTAGGTAGGATAGTTCCGAACTTGATATCAAGGAAGCATACGAATAGTGCAGCAACAGGTATGACAATTTTTGCTCTGGTTGAAATCCATTCTTAACATATTTCTGTTTCTAACTATTTGTAGATAGTGCTTGTGGATTCCCTTTTGGGTGATCAACAGATGTTTTTATGAACTGCACGTACCATTTAGTAGCTACTCATTTTTTTCATTGCAATGTATGACTGACATCAGTACGTGTTTATTTATTTCTTCTGAGTTGCAGAGCGAGTCATAATATGGTTCTCTTGCTAGATCATTATTCTGATTTGGATTCTGAAAAGTGAAGATTGCGCTGCTTATATGAAATTAGGTTTAAGCCGATTTGTTGAGAATCAAGTCTTGTACAATATTCCTTTTTTCATATCCTTAACATTGTCTTAGTCCAGTTTGACGTTCCCATGTTGTTAAGTCCACCTATATTTGATGATGTCCTTTTCTCATATCTTTGATCTGGTTTGGCTTCATATTTGCCAATATGTTATTACACATTCGTAAATAACTTTTATTAGTACTTCATCTTTTGGTAGTATTGAGTATGAGTGGATTTCAGAACTCTCCTCTTGGAGTTTGGTCTTTTCTTGAGAGCGAAGATTGACTGTTAACTTTTGTTTCGTGGCCATGCAACTGGGTTCTTAGCTTGAGATATCAGAAAAATCTTTAGGATTTTTTAGGGTATTCTGAGGCAGTTATTTTCCTGATTCTCGATTAAAAAGATGGCTTTCCTGCTTATTCTGTTTATATTAACTTGGGAGATCATAAGGTGTGTTCTTATGATATTGTTAGCATAGTTTGAAAAAGCGCTAGGTGGTTCCTAGGCGGCCTGGGGGGTCCAGGCCGCCCAGTGCTTAGGCGGGTGCCTAGAAATTGAGCGGCCCAGTTGAATCCAAAAAGGATTCTACAGTTATATATTGTATAAAATATAAGAATTAGGTATTAGGGCACATCAGAATTCAAAGTATACTACACATTAGCACACACTCCATAAGCATAACCATAAGTCGGTCCATATCTAATTAAAATTTAAAATTTACCAACCAAATTACCTAACCAAAGTTACTAAATACCAAACCAGTGGAACTACAAATCCACTATCCACAATACCACAATACACAACCAAGAGGAAGAAAACAAAAATGAAAGTAATACTTGAAGGCCCAAAAGAATCTTCAATTGTTCAATCAATGTTCAAAGTTGAATCATTATTCAACATTCATCATTCATCATCAGAAAAAGTAGGGTCAGCTGCATTTGCATCATATTCATCACCATCGGAGGTCTCATCCTCCTCGACATATTGGTCGTTTTTCTCTGTCTCTTCTGAATCTGCCTCTTCTTCCTCCACCATCGTCCTCTATGCAGAAGATCTAGTGGTCCTAGGAGGGTCAGCTGATGTCCCTGAAGCATCCATGACCATGTCCCATGTCAATCCTTCATGCCCCTCGACCTCATCATCATCAACTAAACACTCCATAGCATTGCCCATATTTTTTGATCTGACGGAGTCTCTCTTATCTCTCTTAGCAAACCTGTCATTCAAGAATCGATTGTATTTGACATAGACCAAGTCATTGAGCCTCTTTGATTAAAGCATGTTCATTCTCTTTGTATGAATCTAACAAAATCAAATGAAATGAATTTATATATATAGTTCATGTATTATTAATACAATTATACAAATTACCCTTACGGCCTTACCCCTTCAAAAGTACTCCAATTGCGCTCACAGCCGGATGAGGAAGTGGATAGGTTTAAGATCCGAATGGCCAACTTTTGTAAATTTGGAGAACTACACCCATGTTGGCTCCACCAATTGGCTGCAAAGATATAGAATAAAATCATAAATAAATAATAAAATTATAAAAATGAAACTTGATTACTTGAACTCGATGAACTTAAGAATATTATTTTTACCTGGATCAATTTTGGTCAATTGCCTCATCGTCATTGGACTCCCAAAAGACTTTAAGGAGCACTTGTAATTTATCAGCTCATCAGCGCTTATAATATTCTGGATATTATGATCAGGGACTAGTACATCTACACACTTATTAAATCCAGTTATAATTGTGTCATTTGTGTGTATATCTTTGTCAACATAAAAAAAATTTGGGTTCAAATAATAACCAGCTGTATGCAATGGCCGATGTAGCTGCCTATCCCACTTCTTATCAATAATCTCCGAAACAGGCTTGTAGCGGTTCTCATCATCATCAAAATTTTGGGCTATCTCTCTTTTGCATTTCTCTATAGCCTTATATATGTAGCCTATAGAAGCCTTGTCACTATCAACCATGCAAAAGAATTTGACAAGAGGAAAAAATACCTTAAGAGCACCCTTCACCCCTTGAATAAAAGCCTTAGGAAGGTTAATATCTCGTACTTTCTTCCCAACCTGATCCTTGGACCACTTGCATGTTCTCTAGTCATCCGAGGTAAACATCTGCCTCTACTGCACTCTCCTCGAATGTATGCTATCCAGGCATAAGTACCAGGCCGCAAATCTCGTGACCCTAGGCCTCACAATCTCTTTCTTCTTTGTAAATCTACGCATCATGCTGAGGGTGAGATGGTGGCTATAAATGAAATTTGTAACTGACTTTGCCTTCTTCACTACACCTGATATCTCTGTTAAACCGCCAAGAGCCTCAAGCATGAGGTCTATACAATGTGCTGAACATGGTGTGCAACAAATTAGCTATAACAATATTAGGAGCAGCATTGTTTGTGACAACATGTACAACAAGATGCACCCCACCTCCTTGATTCCCTTCTCTATAACTTGGAATATGTAATGGGTATCATAGATATGATCAGAGGCATCAATAGACCTCAAAAAAACAGTCCCTAAAGGACAATTCACAAGCCAATTCATCTGTCTTCTTCTCTTTCTATCACTCCAAGCATAAGTCATGATAGAAACCCCATATTGAGCCCATGCATCCTTCTTAACTCCTATAGCTTCTTTTGTGACACTCACCGCTTTTTTCAAAAGAAGTTTTGGAAGCTTACATGGTGGGGGTTTCATCCCAAGCCCAAATTGGGCAGTTGCCTCTACCGTGGCATAGAAGCTGTTTAGGTGAGCGGTTATTGAAAGTGTTGCCCTCCTTATAAAACCATGTAGCAACATACTAAGCAGCTCTATCTCTCTCTTCCTTTTTTATTCTATTTTCAATGGTGGTTTGCTTCTTTGTTTTCTCTCTTGCAACCTCTGGCAGCCCGAGGCAAAAAACTATCCATATGGCCTCTAACCCGAGGCTTTTTACTCCAAGAACCAGAAGCAGTTACAACTCCCTTTCCCTTCCTCCTAATAATGGATTGTTTTACCTCTTGACATCTCTCCCCAATTCCATCCTCGTAGCTATCATCATCATCATAATTGACCCGAACCCCAGACCTAATCTCTGCTATGGAGGCAAATCTCTCATCTTTTTTCTTTTTTACTTTACTAAAAAAATTGGTTATTTCCTCTTTAACAACATCAAGAGACTTTTTACATGGGGCAACATCCTCCTTGATACTAACAAGATGTTTCTTGAACCGGTTTATGCCTCTTTTGTATCCTTCTCACAAAACTTGCATCCTATACAATTCTTATAATTAGGATCTGGGTTGTAGCCATATTTCCAACTGAGATCACTATTCCAATTAGATCCCGAAGAAGACATATCAAAATAATACAACTTATACAAGCAATAAAAAAAATCACTTACTTTGATTGCTCAATCTCCAAACTTCCACCTTATAGATGCTTCTAAGGAATCAAAATCTTCTAAAAAAACCGCCAATAGATTTATAAAACATCAAAAATTAAATCTAATATCAATAGGTGATGTTTTGATAAATTTCTCATAACTTTGTGAAAACCTTCGATCCTAAAGAAATCACCAAAAACTAGTTTTGGGGGGTTTTCTCTCTAAAAATTGGGCTCTAATGAGTTTTAGGTTTCAAATGAACCTTAAACCCCATTTTTGGCCCTAGTATACTTAATGGACAAAAATAGCCCCCATCGAAAGCCTTTTTCGCCTCTGGGGGGGGGGTGTTGTACCTAGGCGGCTGCCTAGGCGGTTTCTTGGGCGCTTAGGCGAGCGCCCAAGAACCTTTGCGTTTTTTTGAGTGCCTAGGCTTGCTCGATGCGTCCAGGCCCCCAGATGCGCTCAGACCCCAGTTTCACCTAGGCGTTGGGCGGTCTGCTTTTTGAAACACTATTGATTAGGTTTTGTACTTTTGTTACTAATGCATAACTCCTTTTTAAGAAACCTCAACTCTAGTTTGCCCTGAAACAATTAAGGGAACTGTTTTTGCATGTTCTCTTTATTATTAATTTTCTTAATATGGATTTAGGATTTATTTTTTTCTATTCACTTGGTGGACACTGGACAATAATAGTGAGTGGGATGCACAACTGAAGTGATTTTGTGTTTGGTGGATCCCACTCCCCATCGCCCTGCAGTCCTATTCGCTGGCCCTTGATGAACATTATCAGCACATATTTCATGTGGTCATGTGGATCATTGTTTAAGCTTCGAGTCCCAATGTTTTTATGCATAAGGAACACCTGAGTTGCATACCTGCAGTGAGCTATGTGGGTTTTTTATCTTCTTATTGTTAAACTGGTAAGTACCCTTGCAAGAATTATTAATACTTTGTCCTGCTGTTTGAACAAAAATGGTACTAGCTATTTTTATGGTTAAAATGACTTATAGAGTAACCCTATTCTGGTTATTAATTGGTGGCTTCATTTTCCTTCTACATGTTTTAGGTCCTGCTGTCTTGGAAATAATTTCTGTCTGATTAGATAGCCATGATAACAACTACAATTTTAATTTTTTCTCTTATGTACAGTTCTATATGCCTTTTTTGGTCTACGTTTGCTTTACATTGCCTGGAGATCAGATTCAAAGACGTCTCAGAAAAAAGAAATGGAAGAAGTATGCTTTCTTGCCTCAGTGTCACATCTGTTGTATCGTTGATCTGTATAGTTTCTTTGGATTTATAAATCTTGTTACCATATGATAGAGTTTACAGATCTGCTTTCCATCGCTTATGGGTGTTTTGTTGCAAGTGATTTGTCATTTCTAGTCAAGTAAACCATAGGAGGTGCTGGTACTTTTTAGAACTCATGGGGTCCTTATCCTCTTTTTAATTGAATGACTTCTCTCATCTGACAGCTCTTTTGTGCTTTTGCCCATATAACAGAGGCTGATATGCTGTTGCTGGCCCCACCAAACACCCAATTATGTGGGTGTCTTGTATAGAATCGTGTTATCCACGACTTATACAGCATTTAACCACACTCTTGAAGTTTAGTCCAATCGTCCAAGGTCATCTAAGGCATGTTTGATGACTGGAACTTCCTGCTCCTAAAGTTGGATGTTCCAGTTTAGTTTGCACTTCCTTGTTTGTTAATAGGAAGTGCTACAGGAAACTGGTTTTAGGAACTTCTGGGTTCTCAAAAAATGAAAACCTGTTTCTAGGAAGTTTGCCTCTCGCCTTTTTTTACACATCTCATGTCTTTTATCTCTCTCTAACGATGCTTGCTCGTTCTAACACTTCTATCTAGCTGCGCCTTTTTTTGCTTTATGTCCTTTCTCTCTCTAGGTCATCTCTCTTTAAACGTGTCCTTTCTCTTTAACTCGATTCTCTTTTTAGATATGCCCTTTTTCCCACTAAATCCTCTCTCCTCTCTCCGACCGTGCCCTTTTTCTCTCAAAGTCTCTTTAAGTATCCTCTCTAACCATGCTCTTTCTTTTTCTCTCTCTTTCTCCAAGTTCTCTTGCTACCTGTGCCCTTTATCTCTCTAAGTCCTAATTTGGTCCTTTTTCTCCAAGTCTTCTCTGACTGCATCCTTTCTCTCTCTAAGTTCATTGTAACCTTACCCTCCCTCTCTCTCTCTCTCTCTCTCTCTCTCTCTCTCTCTCTCTCTCTCGTCTCGTCGTCTACGTCGTGTACGTTACGTTACGTTACGTTACGTTACGTTCGTACGTTACGTTACGTT